GTTCTTCTCCGTCACCACCCTTAATTCGATCCTTTCTTCCTTCTTCTCTTTTCGTTCGCGCGCCTACACCGTTTGTTTATCCTCCGCATTATTGCACGCGTCTCGAATTTTCGAGATCGAAGGGCATCGACGCGAGAGATTTTTAAACGGAGACAGAGACAGAGAGAGAGAGAGAGAATTTCGCGGCGAGGGGAAAAGAAGCGATTCGCGATTTCCTCGTGCGAGGAAAGGGATCGGAAGAAAGGGAAGTTCGAAAGTGCTCGCCGACCTTCTCAACCGTGACTCGAAATCGCGAAGCTTCAAAAGATCCTCTCCAAGAGGAGAAGACGAGGAGGAAGTAAAGGGGTTAAAGTTGGCCGCTGCGCACTTCCGGAGCCCCTTCGTTCGAACGAACGAACGGGTTTTCGGGAAAACATAATGTATCGCGAAAAGGGAGTTGAAGATGAGTCGAGGGGAGGGAGGGGGGGGGAGGGGGAAAAAAAAGGTAAACTCCTTCAGAAAGGCAAGCGGTATCACGGATACTCGTGAGCCCTCCTCTCGTCGGATCCATTCTTCGAAATTCGTCGGCTCCGCGATCTAACCGCTCTTGCGGAACGAGTACCACCTTTCGCCAACTTCCGCCGAGCTTTTTCATGCGTATCGTTAAGATGGATGGGGTTAATACGCGGGTTATACATCCCTTCCCTTTTTTTCGGCGAAGATGTGATAATCGAAGAGAGTGGAGCAGGATATATGGAGGAAGAAAAAAGAAAAAGAAAAAATTACGTTGATAAAATTACGAAACGAGCGCTCTAAACGGGAAGATCGAATTTGGAAGAAGGCGGCTTCCTCCTTCGAGGAGGACAGGATGTTCAATCGAGTTCAATCGTCGATTCAATCTCTTCCAACTGCCTTCTCTTCTCATGGGTAAGGGGGGAGGGAGGAGAAGGGGAGGGAAGGTAATTCGATTGGCATCGATGCATAAATCACGCGGAGAAGGAAGGCGCAAACAGGTGTGCGTCCGTTCGATTCGAGGCCTTGGCAACGCGCGCGTCTCCCGGATTCCGGATTCGGACGCGATTTCGGAATTATCGACTCTCTCTCTCTCTCTCTGTCTTTCTCTCGGCTCGACGATTCGAATCGATGGACGAAACGCTTCGACGAGCCGCGTTGTCCAACGCAAGCCGCGCACAATGAGCTCGTTAAGCCCGAACGCGATTCGATTATGGGGGAAGGATATCGATGCGAGTTCCTCGCCGTCTTCGACGCCGCCGCGTTTCGAGATCTGCCCACACAAATCCGAGATCTCGTCCGGAATATGACGAACGGAAGGGGCGAGAAAGGAGAACGAAGGAAGAGGGACGGTACGCGCAGACATCCGGGAAAATTACCGAGGACCCGATATCGACTTTCGGAATGGGAACCATTCCGAACGCGAAATTATCGCTTTTAATCACCATCGGATCCTTCGCCATCCCTTTACCACCCTTCTCTCCCTCTCTCCCTCCCTCTCTCGTTCCAAGCCTCGTTTCACCCATGCATCGGCTCGAACGACCCGTGGTAACACGGCGAAGGGAGGAGTGCAACAACAACAACGAACTCCCCTTCCCACCCTCCCCCTCCCTTTTTTCCCCACAACGGAACGTTTCGGCGTAAACAGAAACAGGATATCCCGCGAAAGAAGGCTGGGAGCGATTCGCGAGGTTTTCACCCCTTCTTGCGAGGGCACCTCGATGGGAGGANGGGAGGGGGGGAGCACAATCGAAGGAAGAAAAGGACACGGTTCGCGTAATCTTTCGAGCGTGGCGCAACATTGTTGTCACGGACGCTTTGCCCTCTCCGCGGAAAGAATAGATGGAGGAGAGCGGAATGCTGTTGGGTACGATCATTATTTCTCGATGCGTGTATAGCATAGGCGGGGGACTCGCCGGCAAGACAATGCGCGTAGCCAAGTTGGTTAAAATATGCAGCCCGCGGCCGTGCGTGGTTTCGCGCGTCTCTCTCTCTCCCTCTCTTTCTCTCTCTCTCTCTGTCGGTGTATCAACCACCACGTCTAGAACGGGGTGTCGTGCAGCACGTCGGGGGAAAGGGGGTCGCGGAAGGCTCGTGTGTTTATATTCGCAAATAAACGCGAGCGCACGACGACGACGACGACGACGACGACGACGACTACGATTACGAATACGACGACGTGTGCGCAGGTGAAAAGAGGAGGGGAGAAAAAAAAAAAAGAGAGAAAGAAAGAAAGAAAGAAAAAGGGAAAAAATCCTGTCGCTGGTCGACACGACGCTGGCGAGACGAGGGCTCGATGAGGGGAGAGAGAAGATCAGAGAGGAGGAATGGAGAAAGAAAAGGGGCGGTGGAAGCGAGGAAGGGTGGCGAAAACAAACTCCTGCCGCGGCAGAGACGAGCACAATGGGAGCATCTGCTTAGCAAATTGCGAAAAATAATCACGTTTGCCCAGGATTCCGCGTGGCACGGGAGCGGAGGCATCTCGAAAGCTGTCGTATCCCGTATAACACAATAACGCCTACTCGACAGCCGACAAATGCGTTCCAGAGGAGGGACAGGGGCGAAGTCCAAGTTGGCATTGGATATAGGGATACGTATATATACATGTGTATAAGGGAAAAATACGCTCGTGGAACGAGTGAAAAAGCGAAGCTGGTATTCCTAGCGGGAAATGTGTACGTATATCGCGAGACAATATGATCGCATTCGAGAAGGTAGCGAAGTTCGCGCACGTTCCCTTACGACGACACGCCAGGATCTCTTCGCGAGCCGATGAATGCGTCACACGCCACTCTCCTCCCCCTCCTCCTGCCTCCGCGATATCGCGTTTTCTTCCCAACTCTTGGCGACTCCTCCTCCATCCATTTCCGCGGTAGTAATTATTTTCACGGTGTATTAAGTCGGCGTAGAAATTTGCGCGTTATTGAAATTACGGAAATCGTTGCGGGGCCTCGTCGTTTCACGCTTCCGCTCACACAACATTTGTTCTTCACCGACACCAAGTATCGGTACCTATCCTCGATAGATAATTTATTTCGTTCGCGAAAATATATTTTCGTATCCAATTTTTTCTCATTTTCCCATCGAACTCTCATCCTTCTATATCATGTACAAATACTATAGTTCTCGCCTCTCATCTGTGTATTCTCTCTCTTATACACGCATCCGTGCCGTGTATACACCGGAATATATTTATTTACATTTGTCACTCGATCGATTAATTCCATTCGATGGAGCGATAATGAGGCGATTGACGGATCGAATCGTTTTCCGCGTCATTTGTTACGTACCGATAACGACGAGGATCTAGGCGAGATAAATAAAAATAGGCGTGGACGGGATAAAAAATATTTCCTTGTTCGCGAGAAAACTCGTTTTACGGGGACAGAGGGGAAATTTATCGAGGGTATATTGTCCTCGACGATCCATCGATTCCTATTAATCATCGACGCGATACCGGTGAAACCGAAACGCGCGTATATAAAGGGCTTTTTCATCTCGTGGCACACGTGACCGGTCCCGTACGTTCTCATCGCGGCGTCGAAAATATCACGTGCTATCACGAGCGGAGCGTTCTTACGCGAATCGATTATCGCGGCAATGATCGAGCAACGCGTGGAATGTTCACGAATCGAACAAAAATTCGACGGAATTTGAAACACGATCCCGACGTTTCGAACGAACGTGTAACACGGACGTGAAATCGAAATTCGATGAATATAGCGTGATCGTTTGAATTAACACACCCGTTTAGAATAATTCGATCGATGCCTGTCGAGGGAGACAAGGCAAACAAGCCGCGACAATATTTGCGCGCATACGTGATTTAGCCCGTGTTTGTTTAGATACGTATAAACGATCTATGTATCACTTTCACGGGACAGGCGGACTTTATAAATCCGGGACAAATTAGTTTATCTTCGGAA